TAATCATATGGTAAAAATGATAATGACCTCCAATACCAATATCGTATCACAGGTCTAAATGGTATTACCATATTATCATTTAGACTTACCATATGACAATTTACCATACCGTTTCCATTGATAATGGTATGGTACAATGGTAATTGTGACATTTATGATATAGTGCCCAGCCCTAGTCAAACACCACACCCCCTAAAAAAAAAAAAATCCTGAAAAAGCCTATCCAACCTTCCTTCTAAAAAAACGAAAAAAAAAAAAGGAAAAGAAAAGGAAAAACAAACAAAACTATGGTGGGAAATGTCCATCAAACCGAAACGAGATGGCAGGAGACAATCCCCAGTTTCTTTTGGAGACTGAGGAAAACTCTAGAAATTGAGATCAGAAACCATTTCAGTGAATACGACGTGCCACGACAATAGCCCGGCGTGGAGGAGGGGAGCAGAGGGCCATGAGGATAAGAGCTATAAGCAGTGCTAGGAAAATCCCATTGAGATTCAAACCACCTTCACTAAATTCTGAGCAGACCATCTTCGCCATCTCCAATATGAGCTCTTGTTGCCCCGGTTGTGTCTCGACAGGAACTACAAATGAATGCTAGTGCCAGGGCATTTTAACCCCAGGTCCTTCTATTTCCTTTACTCAAGTCAAGTCCAGTCAAGTCAACTACGCACCTAATTCGAACGGTCCTGGAAGATTTACACGTTTTTATCAAGGGTCCGTGGCTGCCAAATGTGGACTTCAGTTTCCACAACGACAACACGGCAACGACTTGAAACCCAACTCATCGTAGTCTTAGGAATGAGCTCGTAGTTTTACCATCTAAAACAGTTTGAATCATAAAATATTTTTTAATTTAAAAATTACCGATTAAAGTTTATGAAATTTTAATTCTGAGTTTTATGCCATATAAAAGGAAAAAAGTCAATAAGACAATTAATTTGACGCGGAGAAATACAGTGGTAAACGACGTTGCTAAACATGTACTGAAAGTTAAAACTAAGAAATTCTACCTTTTTTCACATAAAAATTAAAGTAAGAAATTTATAAACAAAAAATAATATAATTACAATGTTACATAATATTATAAATTTATAATATGATGTATTATTATATAATTAATTTTTTTTCATTCATAAATTCACTTATAATATTGTATCTAATTATCCTCTTAATGTTACTATTTCCTCAAAAATCTTCATATGATTTCACAAAAGTGGAATCTGGATGCGGACATACCACTTACTTTATTGAAAGCAAAGAAAAAAAATTTTTTTCTAACGATCCTTTTCTTCCTCACAATCAACCTCTTTGTAGATGATAAGAAGAATATTGTATCTAATTATCCTCTTAATGTTACTATTTCCTCAAAAATCTTCATATGATTTCACAAAAGTGGAATCTGGATGCGGACGTACCACTTACTTTATTGAAAGCAAAGAAAAAAAAATTTTTTCTAACGATCCTTTTCTTCCTCACAATCAACCTCATATGATTTCACAAAAGTGGAATCTGGATGCGGACGTACCACTTACTTTATTGAAAGCAAAGAAAAAATTTTTTTTTCTAACGATCCTTTTCTTCCTCACAATCAACCTCTTTGTAGATGATAAGAAGAACGTTGGTTTAAAATTAAAATCTACACCTACAAACGATTTGCAAGGAGAAATGCCTTCTTAGTTCCTACATGATGGGTTACTAAATTTGATTTGGACAATTCCAAGGACATAAACACTTCCGTAAATTAAAGTTAACAAATCCTAATTGAATTAAATGGCATACAAATTAAAATAAACTTGCGAGAACAAAATATACCCAAATTAAATTAAACATATTCATTGTCAAATTAAACTACTATCTACAGACAGATCTGAAAATTAAATTACTATAGAATTGGATATCTAACTCTAAATAAACATTAAAACAAATATGAACAATGACTAAATTAACATGCTCGAAGTTGAGAAGAAGCGTAAACGTCATATAAGTAATCATTTGATAAAATGCTACTTATCATAAATATTAAATTTACACTAGTCAAAAAAGGAACAGTACCTTGTACAAATTCAAAACTTGATATTCATTACATAAAACGAAATTACTGAAACAAATACTCGAACTAATATGACTACTGGAATGATGAAAAACAACCTAAATCTACTGGGAATTATGTTGAAATTCAAAATCTATAAATTAAAGTGAGTAATCACTGAGAAATTAAAAGTTTGAAAATTTTGTTAAGTTTTGTATAAGGCAAGCTGTGTGTTCTATCCTCAAAAATTTTCCTTTTGTTTCCCTTTTCCCTTGCTGCAACTCCCCACTTTTTGTAGTTACACAAATCATAAGCAGTTTCCTTAAGAAGGAGAACACCTTAGCAATTGACAGAGAGAGAATTCTTTCCAGATTTCGTCACCTGTCCCATTACCAACTAACGTACAACTATAACTGAAACCATCTCTTAAATTTCAGCTAAAACAAACCCAATTTGACTCAAATAGGCAACCAAAAGATAAAATTTTATCTTTTTATCTTCTTCTTTTTTATATGATATCTGATATGTCATGGAACTCAGAATTGCATATCTGACATAACTAAATCTCCTTCGTCCATTTAAAATATTTAACATATGACATGATCTTAACTTTTTACAATTTATGGTGTAAACAAATACGTCACATTAATTCAATACGACATCAAGATTATAAACTTAAAATTTTATATGATATTATAATTATAATATTTCTAAAAAAATGATTTATTTTCTAACATCTTAGCAAAATGTTTGGATATTTAATTATAATTATTAAATATATAAAATATAATATAAATTTAAACATTACCATATCTATCATGTCAATTTTAACTTTATCATATCTATCATTTTTATAACAAAATGTCTTAATTTCTTTAATAAACAAACAGGCCGAACATTTTTGTAGCCATTGATCATCGCGTGTGACTCACGTGGTCCTATGAATCAGTTCCCAGGATGGTTTCGGCTTATATTATTCGGCCCCCAAGTAAGTTCTCAAACCGATATCAAATCATCCCACTACCGACCGTCACTTCTCTTTAAAAAAATAATAATAAAGAATTCTCCTCCGCCTTCTCTATAGTTGTTGATTAAAAATTAAGAAAAAAATATAATTTAAATTGTATTAAATTATATAATTATAATATTAAATAAAATATAAACTTTTAATATTAAAAATGTTAATTTTTTTTATTTAATAATTTAGTTTTATTTTCATATTGTAAAATAAAAGAATCAAAAATTAAATCCATACTGAAATTAAAAAAGAAGGCAGTATAAAAAGCTAAGGGAATCATGCAGACCAATTATTATTGGAGAAGGGGGGGGGAAGGGCACGATGCAGAGAATCAATGATTCTCTAATTAGGTCCACTTTAGACCTGAGATGTCCCTGTTTCATTTTATCAGAGGCCAAGGAAGTGGGCCTTTTTTTTTTTGCCCTTTACCTTTCTCTTTTATTTTTTTTTCCCCCCACTTTTAGTGAATTCATCATAACTGTTCATGTCTTTACTCTTTACCTCTGTCTTGCCATCAATACACATTTACTTACTCTGTCTCTGTGTGTGTGATATCATAATGAGACAGATGAAATCGGCAACAATCATCAGGAGAATATAAATGATGCTCTCCATAAATACTCCCAACGTGTGTACATCATGGCCCAATAAACATGTTTTTGGGTTAAATTTTAGGAAATAGTAGTTTTGAGTCCGTTCTGTGCTCAACTATAAATTTTTTTTTTTTGAAAAATTACATATGATTTGAACTAAATTACAAGAAATATTAAAAAACTAAAATGTTTTGAGAATTTAAATGTTAAAATTTTTTATAAAATTATTTAAATATCCATACAATATATTTCGTCTGGGGAAAGAAAGTCCTTTGTTTTAATTTTTTTTAATTTATTTATTTATCTAATTGAAAAATAGAGAAGGAAATGCAAGAATAAAATTTTCTTCCCTGCCTTTTTATTTCCTTTCTTTTTTCTCCATTTCATTTCTTTCAATTCAAATATACAATTAATAAATTTACATAAAAAATTTATTAAATATATTTAAATAATTTCATAAAAATTCTAACATTTTAAATATCATAACATACAAAATTTCATTTTTCTCAAATTATAAATATAACAATATAACATGAAGTCTCAACCTACAATATATAGGCAAAGGCTTATTTTTAACCTTTTATATTATTAGATTTATAAGTTTTAACCCCTAATCTATTAGAATTAAATAAAATAACATCACTTATAATATTTTGTTAGTTTTGTTAGTTTTGTTAACTGACTGTTAACTGACTGTTAACTCTATTAGTTGATCATTAACTGAATGTTAGCTGATAAAATTTTTTTTCTAACTAATAGAGTTAATAATTAATTAATAAAACTATTCTATTAGATGATTGTTAACTCTATTAATTGATTATTAACTGGTAAAAACTTACTTTCAACTAACAAAGTTAATAATCAGTTAACAGAATTAACAGTTAGTTAATAGAACTAATGAAATATTATAAAATGAGAGTTATTTTTTTTTTAATTTTAATAGGTGAGGGTTAAAAGTATTATAATATAAAGTAAATAATTAAAACCTACAAATTTAATAAAGTAATAGACAAAAAGATAAGCTTTTCCGCAATATATATGGCTAACACCTGCTCTTGTGAGTCGACTAATTTATAATTAGTTTTAAAGGTGTACACTAACCGATGTAATATTGGTTCAAATCTCCTACATTTTAAAATTTGTACTTACTAAAAAAAGCAATATATATGGCTAAAACCAGCTGAAACTTAAAGTTATGAGAAATTAGGATCTTAACCTTAACTAGGTAGTACTCCCTCTGTCCCATGATGGTAATGTAGTGGATTATCTGTGCAGATGGCTTCAGATCAGAAAGCAGGCTTTTTTGGGGATGGATCAGAGAGCAGGTGATTTGGGTAGGGGAGAGAAGAAAAAAGAGAAGCGTGAATTTAGCAAAAGGGAGGGGTGTAGGCAGCCATAGACAGTCGACGAATCTACTACACGTGGCGCAGCAGTCGAGGCCAGGAGACCCTTCATTAATTTGGAGTTGGAACCAAATAAAGTGAAATCTTCCCCTTTTCCTATTTTACATTCTCACTCTGTCCAGTAAAATTTCAAAACTTTTCTAGTGTTTCCTTTAAATTTTCAAACTTATCTAGTCTGATCCGTAAAGATATTTTTTCATCCAATGAGAATTTCACTTTAACAGTATATACAACATAAATTTTACATTACAGTATTCTTGTTTATTAAAATAAAAACACATTTTCATATTAACCAATAACTTGTTGGTCTAAGTATTTTATGTTAATCGATAATTTATTAATTTAAGTAAAAAAATAATTTTTTTAAATAAAATTTTGAATTCAAATTTTATAAATAAAAATTAAAAGTTAAAAAAAAATTTTCTTATGAATCAAACCCAACTCAATTTTATATTAATCAAAATCTAATGTGATTTTAAATATCAAAAAGTTAATTAAAAGCACATTGCCGTGTCACATGAAAGAATTCTCGCTTCCCCTGTCACTTTAACAGTATATACAACATAAATTTTACATTACAGTATTCTTGTTTATTAAAATAAGAACACATTTTCATATTAACCAATAACTTGTTGGTCTAAATATTTTATATATTTTATGTTAATCGATAATTTATTAATTTAAGTAAAAAAATAATTTTTTTAAATAAAATTTTAAATTTAAATTTTATAAATAAAAATTAAAAGTAAAAAAAGTTTTTTTCTTATGATATCTATCCAAACTCGACTTTATATTAATCAAAAGCTAATGTGATTTTAAATATCGAAAAGTTAATATAAATAAATAAAAAGCACATTGCCGTGTCATATGAAAGAATTCTCGCTTCCCCTGTTAGAAATTTTGATCATCAATATTTTTTAAACTTGGATTCAAATTTTGAAAAAAAAAAAAAAAAAACAAAACCAAAACAAGAGTCTTGTCATGAATTCAAGAAAGGACAGTCCGTAGAATCTCTAGTCTGCATGTGGAAGAGGTAAGAGTATCAAGTTAAACGCGGAACTGCCAGAAGGCAAACGCACCTCATTGGTATAACCTTTCAGAGAGTTTCAGCCGCTCGTTTCACACATCATATAGAAACTTTGCAAACTTTAGAATCTCAAGGTCCAAGCAACCAAATTCTAGAGGCGAAGATACCAAAACAGAAAACTAGATTCCCGGCTAAGAGCATCCAAAGTTGAGAAACTGAGAGAAGTAGAAGACAATGTCGATAATTTAATATGCAAGCATCATATAAACTCAGATGTGTACGTAACTCTGAAATTTTATTTCTCCCCAATAATAAGATTATAAATGACATACATAGTCAATCGGGATGATCACTACTTAGAAAACAGGTGATACGAATACATAAACATCCATAAGTTGGAAATTGTATACAAGGTAATTAATAGACTGATAATACACAACAACAATAGAGACTGGAGTTCTCCTCAATTTATTAATCAATATTCGGTATCCAATAGCTCAGCCAAGGTAAAATGAATGGCAATCGAGCTCTCGAGCATCTGTATACCTTCCCATATTACGTCCCCTATCCAATCAGGTCTGCAATTATATTAAGCTACAAAAATTTGAAATGTGGAACAATGAATAGCATAAGGAGCATGTACCTGCTATATCCATTCCCGGAGGCATTCAAAGGGCTTGAGGCACTTTATATGTTGCAGAATCCTCATCCATGGTCCAAACAAAAGGAGGCATATCAAACCGCGGTCCAGCAATGGTCCTATAGATATAAAGTTTGTCAACTGGACAGTATTCAGGCCTTGACTCTGGAGATTCCCTCTCATCAATAACTTCAACATTCAGCTTCGGCATCTTCTGACCAAGCAACTTGCATGCTCTATAGCTCACAGGGCAAGAAGATATCCAAAGGGATCGCATTGTCTCCAGCTTTGCAGCATTGGCCAAAAGAGCCTTGTCCCCAAAGGGGCAGTCCCTAATCTCCAGTTTCCGGAGGCTTTCACACCCAGACAGCACATGATGGAGCCCCAAATCACCATTTCCAGCAAAAGCAATAGACAACATCTCTAACTTTTTCGCATATGTTCCAATATATTCAAACATACGATCAGTGAGGAGACCAGCGAGTGAAAGGCGCCGGAGATCCTTGCAGTGCTCCACAATAGCTCGGAAACCATCATCAAGGGGCTCACTGGTCAAGTAATCTGGGGTGTATGGAACAATTATACAAAGGCGAAAACGAGTTAAGTTTGGACTGTTCTTGGCAATTGTGACTAAGGCAGCATTTGTCATTTGACGGCAGAAGTACAGAACTGACTGCAGCTTCGGACAACCCTCAGAAACAGATACAAGGCCCCGTTCTGTTAAGGATACATTTGGTTCTGCTTCATATGGTTCTGATGGAAACACTCGTAATTCTTGGAGGTCCTTGCAACACGAAGCAAGGGCTTCAAGGCCACTGTCTTCAATGTAGTCCAGTACCTGTAAACAAAATTTATATGTTTTAGAGAAAAAGGAAAAAGAAAAGAAAAGCATTTAGTGCTGGATTTTTATCTAGTTGATTTATTGCAATATGTATGATTCAAAAACAAAAGAATTTGACAAGGATCATCAGATCACAAATGCGTGATCAACTATTAAAGGTTAGAATTAACTCTTGTTACTTGCTAAATTTTCATTATAATTAGCAGTCCAGTTTATTTATGCGAAAAAAAAATAAAAGAAGCAAGTAAGGTACAAAAGAAGACTAATGATAACCCAAAAATGAGATGATAAGCTTACCCATAAACGCTGCAAACCTGGGCATCGGCGTACAAGGTCGGTAAGATCAGGGCTTGGGACAGTGGCATAGCTCAGGTTCAAGAATGTTAACCCAGAGCAAACAGAGTAAACTGCTGGAAGGTAAGCTGGTACAGCATCCCAAAACCCAGACAAGCTCTTCAGATCCTTGCAGCCCGCAAATGCTCCAGCCAGGTTTGAGAAGACATCTTGGCGGAACTCAGAAGAGTAGGCACCTGTTCCAAATTCTACCAATTGTGGGGCACGGCGAAGTAGGTTGGCAATTCTATCCAAGGGCACAGCCTGATTGAGTCGAAGAGACCTCAGGTTGGGACATCTACTTACTAGGCGCTCCAAGGCCAAATAGCTTACCTCAGACACTAAGCATGAAATGTTGAGGGACACCAAGGAAGTGCACGTCTCTGGAAAATGGCTAAGCCAGTGGCCACTCAAATCTTCCACTTCACTTTCCCACAAGTCCAGCTGTTTAAGGTACCTGCAACATCAGAACGCAGGATTAATGAACAGCAGGAGTCAGATAATAATATATTTAATTAAAACTTCCGAAGGAAAAAAAAAATGTCATTAAGGAAATGAGAAAATTCAAAACTAAGATATCTAAGTTGTTGAACAGACATAGACCTTCACCACTGTCTTTGTCACTGAAAATTGAAAACAACTACACTACATCAGTAATTTCCTTCTTTTTACAATTTCGCTTGCAAGAGAAGAAAGTCATATAATATTCCCTACTTGTTTGACCACTCAGTCAACCATAGTTGTCAAACTGAAGAAGCCAAAATTTCCAATCTAAGATTCCAAAATTCTAAGACTTGCTCGCATAAGCATTCAGGGTGCTCCCCCCAATACTGAAAACCAAACCATCAGAATGTACAACGGCGATGAAAGGTAGTTCATGAGAAAGGAGGGAAAATAAAGAGATCTATCATCTTTCAGCTATCATAACTTCAAGAAGGAGAGAATCTGGCTTCACGAATCCAAAAGAAACCCACATTTTCCAGTAAGAAACCATCCAAAATCTACCGACCATCATAGGTCAAATTCGTCCATAACAAACAAAACAATAAAAATAAAGCAAACCCAGTAGTCAACACTAGACCTTCTACGTAAGATACTCTATGGAGGAAAAAGGGAAAGAAGACAATTTCATGGTCCACTCGATCTGCGAGAAGCAGGAACAGAGACAAGCGAGCAACCATAAGGAGAAATGAAGGTCCACAGATCAAATATGCAGGCAAAACCTGGAAGCTTAACCCAAAGAAACCACAAGCAGACACTGAAATCACATTTCAATATTTCAATTCCATGACGAGATACCATTCCATCTTGAAACATAAAACAAAGAAAAGTCTTGTCCTTTTTTTGCGCATAAAACACCATTTCCACGATTTCGCACCAAAAACAATAAAAAGACAACATTTTGAGCATAAAACTCAAAACAGAAAGGACGAAAACAAAATGCAGGTCAAGAATATGGAGCCACTGCAATAACTCCTTCGTATTTCCAAAATTAACACCACAATCAGACTAAGACTTGAAGTAATTACATCCTCTTAAATAAAAACAAACAAATCCAGAAGAAATAGATTAAAGAGCAAACCTGCAATTGGCTGCAATAACAGCCAGACCATTAGTGGAGAACCCCTCACAAGACGAGAGCACCAAGACCTTGAAATTCTTGAACGACTTGGCGATGAGCTCCAAGCTATCATCAGTAACTACCATCCGCTTCAACCGAATCTCTTCAAGCCAAGGGTACGCCTTCGCCATCTCAACGATCCACGGGGAAACGTACCCGCCCCAGCCGTCGGGCACCAGATTGAAGTCCGCGAAGTGCGGCTTCCCTTTCAGCTCCACGGATCTCACATCCGGGAACCTCCTGGTCACCATTCTCGGACTCACCGCATAACAGTTCCCAACGAAAATCCTCCTCCTACACCACCGCTCGATCTCATACCACGACTTACACACCAGCGATATCGCGTTCCGATCCTTATCCGATTGTATGAACGAGAAGACGTGCTCCAGCATCTCCTCCGGAAACGAACAAGTCATTATTCTCTGCATCAATCCCGACTAGTAAAGCAAAATGGAGAAATATTTCAAAGCAAGTACAGCAGGAAACACTTGTTCTGCTTTGGGTAAGGTCTCCGGTGGTCTTAGATCTGAGACGCCATTAAAAGAGCTTATAGTTACAGAAAAAGAAAGAGAAAGAGACTTATGAGACTGAGAGCCGTGGAAAGGAAATGAAGTTTAGGACAAGAAAAATAAAGTAAGGATTTTTTTTTTTTTTTTTGGGAACCTCAGAAGGGTTAGATTTAACTCGGGTTAAGTAGGTCATGTGTGGGGAAACTGAAGAATGGTGATGATAGGGGACACGTGGAGGATGATTGATTGATGCCGTCCGATGAGCGGTGGGAAGAGAGATCTTATCCGTTGGCGAAGAAGCGGAGCCATCGAAAACGGGTGGATGTGGGCGAAAAGACCCGAGAAAATTCAAAATATCGTGAGATGAGTGGACGAGATTTTAGGAGTGTTGTCTGATTGGAGGGAAGTGATAAAGTGTTATGATGTGTAGGGGAAGTGAGTGATGGTGAAGGGGGTGGTGGAATCTCATGATTCGCGTCGCACGGCTGGATCTGAGGGATCGGATACAGCGGGGACCACATAATAAAGGAGATTTTTTTTTTTTTTTTGACAATATAATAAAGTACTGAAGAGGAAAAATGATTCCTTCCAAATCTCATTTACATGACTACATGACAGTCTTTCAATTTGACATCGGCAATCATTCAGTTCAGCACTACAGCTACAGTGTTTTCTTCAATATTTTGTATAATATTATTTCAGTTATAATAATTTATAATAATAATATAATTATTAAAATTAAAAAATAATAAAAATATTATTTTTAATTTAATTAATATTTATTAATTGAAAAATTAAAATTAATTAACAAATTAATATTTTTAGTATTGTTTAAAAAATATAAAATTTTAATTACTTAAAAATATTAATAATAACCATAACGGCACCTTACTATTATAATAATGTATTGTATTTTTTAATTTTTTTTTACTTGTTTCTATTCACTTATCTCACTTTTGAACTAGTTTTAAAGGATTAATCGTTTATCTTTAACTTTTTAATATTTGGACTTTTTTAAGTTAAGAGTTCTGATCTTACTAAAGACTATGAAATATACCTCTCTCCTACCTTAAATTACCTAAGTTCAAAAAAAATTACTCTCTTTAGTCTCCTGTTTTACTCATTTCACCTCATCATTTATGATATAAGTAATTGAAATTTTTTATTTAATACTAATATATCATTTTTCTTTTTATTTTTACCTTTAATTATAATTAAATAAAAAATTCAATATTATGTTTATTTAACTTTTTATGTAATTTAAATCATATAAGATTGCAAAACAATAATCATAAGATGAGGAGTGGGTCTTGTAATATTGAAAACCCTTCCCATCCAAGAATTATTGTTATGTAGCAATTCGGTATAATTTAACTGATAAAATAAAGAATTTATTTTTATTTTATCAATAAATATAAAAGTAGAATAATACTAGTAATTTTTTTAATTATGAGATAAAAATGACAATAATATAAATAAAATAAAAAATATTTTATCTATCATAAATATTTAAAAAAAATTATTATGTACTCTTAAATTATAAGTTAATAGTGCATTTATTATATCTTTTTAGTAGTATTAATTTATATAAAAATTTATAAAAACTAATATTAATTTTAATATGATTGTCATTTAAATAAATTTAATTATAAAATTATTAAAATTAATATCAATTTTTATTTTTTATATTAATTAATACAAAAAATACATTAAATGTACTTTTAAGATTTATTGTTTGAGCAATGATAGGGAAGAGAAAAAAATTTTGAATAAAAATTTGAAATTGGTGGTGTGTCACGTCGTTGTATTAGTTAATATATAT